TGTAAAACAATGAGAGAATTTTCCTTTTACTTTTCCAAAAGGGTAGTGTACTAGGGGGGAGGGTTGGGAGGGTAGAAAAGTGCAACAATGAATTAATGGAAATCCAAGTTTTCTGTAAATTTTTACTGAAATTAATAATAAATTAAAAAAATTAAGACATAACATTTTATCTTTAAAGTGCCTGATGGCACAGCAGCTAAGCACTTACCTGCCAACCGGGACGGTCCTGTGAACCCACCAGAGAAATTACGTGGCAATTTGTTTCTGTAAAGACTTATAGTCTTAGAAACCCTTCGAGGCAGTTCTACTCTGTCTTGTGAGGATACCATGAATGAGTAATAATTCAATACATACAGAGTGGCCTTGAGATAATAGAGAAATCATAAACAATCCCTTCCTCTAACTTTGAAGGGGAGAAAAAAGGTGATATACTTGTCTTAAACATGACATCACCCAGCCCTTCTTGTGTGAGGTCCAAGTTAAAAATTAACATACATGATACAGATTTCAGCTCAGGCTTTGAAAGAAAAGAAGAGTTAAGAGAAAATCTTTCCGATTATCTGAAGAGACTCTGTCCACTGTTGTCAATATCAGACCCTCAATGCATGAGATCTCCACCAAGTTCAAGTCATGGTCAGTTTCCTTCCCAAGAACTTTTTACCAAGTCTAAGAAGCCTGATGTCCGAGGACTGGGACTCTAACCAGTAAACTAACATTTTAATTGTTAATTCTGATTCTTTAGTATAGAGGATGATAAGTCTTTTGTGTCTTATCATGCATGACTATTCCACAGTAAATTAAACTAATTTATGCTCGACAAACCTGCATATTTCTCTGCTTTAAGATAAAAATCTTAGAAATATCTCTCTAGCAACTTTTTAATGTAAAATCTGTAAGAAAAGTCTCCATGCCAAGATTAGGTCAGGGAAACTCAACCGTTCACATTCCAATTAAAGGCAGTTGTTTTTCTACTTTCAATTTTTAAGGCCAATACCGTCATTTTCTGGTTTATTAAGACTCCAGAAACCCTGATTGCCATATGAAATCTCCTAATAATATCTGCATTATTTTTTTTAATTTTAAATTTATTTTAATGAAAGTTTACAGAGATTTTGGACTTCCATTCATTCACTATTGCACTTTTCTCCCTGCCCACCCCTTTTTGAAAAGGAGAAGAAAAAATTCGTTATTCAATCCCTCCCCCCAAGTCCACTTCACTATGCTACCTTTGTTCTGGACTCCTGTCATAACAATAATATCTACTCATATATCCCTTCTAAACAGTTCTCTCCCTCTTCAATCAGCATACATTATTTATCCCATCTTTCTCAGTCTCCCTCTCTTATTCCAGGTCTTCCTTTATAACAGTGGCATTATGCCATATTTGTCTTTTAGTGACTGAGCTATTTCACTCAGCATAATGCTCCAGGGTCACGCATTTTGTATAGTATTTAATGAGTTCCTTGTTTTTCAATGGCACATAATATTCCATTGTGTGAATATGCCAGAGTTTCTCTAGCCATTCATTTGTTGATGGGCACTTGGGTTGTTTCCAACTCTTTGCTATTGTGAACAAAGCTGCAATAAACATGGGTGTGCATGTATCTGTTTGGGTGGCAGTTATGGTTTCTTTAGGGTATACTCCCTGTAGTGGAACTGCTGGGTCAAATGGCATTTTGCATTACTTCTTAATAAACTGTATTAATCAAATAAAAAGCACCCAACCTAAAACTTGCCAGTTTGCATTCTCCAAAACAGACAGCTGTCAAGTACCTTTCCAAAGTGCTAAAGAACAAGTATGTCTGTTTAAAGATTAAGGTGCATCTGATCTAAGACATGGTACCTACAATTGCTCCCTATATGCCTCAAAGGTGGGCAGTGAATAAGGATAACTGATGATAAAACAATGCCTTTGAATTGTGGTTCTGGAAAGAGTACTGAATACCATGGAATGCCAAAAGCAGCAGCAAGTCTAACTTGGAAAAAGTGTAAACAGGGCGCTCCTTAGCAGCAAGGATGGTTGAACCCCATCTCGTTAGGCATGTTGTCAGTAAGAGTTAAGTCTTTGGGGGGAAAATCATGCTGAGAAAGGTGGCTGGTCTGTGAAGGAAAGGAAGACCCTCAACAGAATGGACTGGCAGTCACTGTAACAACAGACTTGAGGACTTCAGATTGTAAGGATGACGCAGGACAGGGCTGTTGTTCATAGAGTTGTACATGAGTCATAGTTGACCTGACAGCAGGTTAACAAGAGCAAGTCTAGGCTCAAATCCTAACTTTGCACTTATGAGCTGAGCCTGTTGAGAGGTTGCTTCAGCCATGTGTAGTGTCTCTCCTTACACATCTGTAGATCACTCATAATTGGTAGGTTTATGTGAGGTCAGTGAAAACTACAGGTTAAATGCTATTAAGATTTTTTTCTTGGTAATAATGGCATATAAGACACTTGATCATACTTTAAAAAAACTCACCAAAAAACCTTCTATTCCCCAAACATCCTTTAGTGTTTGCTATTGAGAAGGCCAGGCCATAAAGGAGCATAAATATATGGATCAGACTGGTAAAAGGAGGTTAGCATTTGGCTGTTAAGGCATTTACCTCTCTGTGCATTTTAACATGTAGAAAGACAATTAGGATGAACTGGGAAAGTCAAAACATCACTTACAAATTTAAGTTATATATTTTTAACTCTACATTGATTTTGAACACATTCACGTTTATCATATTTTGAGTCTTTAAGATATTCATAGCGATATGAACAGTAAATTACATTTTGATATAGGAAACAACATCCATTTGGGTCTTTTAAACATTAGTTACATGACTAAACTTCTGATCAGTTAGAAAATAGCAGCCATTAGTGCTTGCTAAATAAAGAATACAACTGCACAGAGAGCAGTCTGAGAATGCAGGGGTTTTCAGCTGAAGTCATAATGTGGCATGACTTCCTGGTGATTAAAAAAAAATTAATTCAATTCTTAAAGTGAGATATATAGGTAATTACATATCTTTAATGACAGATAACCAATAACAAGTTTAAAGCAGCTTTAATGGAAGTTCATCATATTAATAGTTGTATATCATCTAACAAGCATAAGTCATACATGATTTTTATAACTAGTGAACAGAATGTGCTTCTCACCAGTATGTCAAAGGCGCTTTCAAAAAGAGAAACTGTAGTTACACACTCATGGTCACAATAAAATTGTTCATCTGTCCAGATAATTGCTAGGCTGATACACAAAAATCTCCTTAGCACAACACCATAAAAATGATGTATTTTGGGTATCAGAAGGGAAATAGGTCATTTCACCAGTTCAGGACAGAATAACTCAGTCCCAGCACTCGGGATCCCCACCTCAAGCACTGCTCCAAGAGAACTCAATTATAGCTGCAACTGAGGAATGATCTGAGAGTGTTCACATCAAGCCCTTGTCATGAGAACCTGATCTCTATCTTATCTTGAAATCTACAGAAAAACAAGGAATTAGGGATAGTTATGGTCAGCTATTGGGAACCCAGTGAATTAAAATCAACTCTAAAGTCTAGGCAAACCAGATTACTAAAAACCTTCCTTATTTTGTCAAATAATAAAATACAAATTTTTTAAAAATCTAATTTTAAGACTGATTTCTTGACAGAAAATGTCTTAAAAGTCTTAACCTAGATTGCTGCACACTGACAACAGGGCATATAAATTTCAAGGCAGGGTGTGATTCTTTTTCATATATGAGTATCATTAATCCTGGATGATGTCTTTATACCATTTTGCCACTAGATGACTCCACTGAACTCATGATTTTAAAGTTTCACAGCACATAAATCATATAAATTTAATTTTAGGTCAGTTCTTTCTAAGAAAAATATAACTATATATTAAAAAGAAATGTGATCATGAGATTAAAACAATCAATGCTAAGAGCACATGCACCATGTGGAGTTACATGCCATCAAACTGGAATCAACTCACACTGCAAGGCTGTAGACTGCCCATTTTTCTCTTGTGGAGCTGTTAGTGGATTCAAACTGAAGCATACAGCCTTTGCATCCGCAGTGCCAAGTCCCAATGGGCCACACTCCCAGAGCTCCCGAGACCAACACCAATAGTATTCACCTGCTTTCAAGTTAGAACATTTGTGTTTCACTTCCAAGTCAGTATTTCTTTCTCTTATTTTTACATTCCAGTCCTGATACACTTTATGTCAATATTTTCTAAAGAATATTCAACAGAAAGATAACGCTACAATGCTCAAGAGACAGGTGATTCACAGGACTGAATATTGCTAATATGAGTGGAAGTGTGCACTTTCAGATGATAAACTTTATTTGTAAGCAGGGAAAGCTCACATTACAATAACTGTAGGAAGTACAGTACATATATAAGCCAGCAATTCAGGCATTTATCATGACTCTCAAGCTGTATTATAGGTTATATATATACATCGCAATATATCTGACATCACAATTGCTCAATTGTTTTGTACACAAGAAAATCAGCTGTACTTATTGTGAGTCGGAAGTGGTCATAGTCACTATGTCCAGTCTGCTACGTCCTGTACTCTAATCTGTATATTTGATGGCGCCATGAATTATATGTAGTTGGATGCTGCCCAAATGCACAGTATGTGATTCACAACTGTATTCCAACAAAGTAATTTTCTAAACAACTTACCATGTCTTACTCTCAAAGATTTTCTTCCTTAGTGTTAAAAATTGCTGTAACATGGTTATGCTTACTTACAAGTATAAACCATAACAATCAATCATTGATGGCAAAATACACACCTTAAAACAAGATCAAGATTTTAAAAATACTTTGCAGATGCTTCAAAATGAATACTAATGAAATACAGTTAGCATTTCACTTGCAAACAGGATTAGATAGAAAGTATTATTCGTGGCCTTATATTTTATAAAATCCTTTGTTCAAGAAACTTCATATGATCATATGTGCCATTATTCAGTTCAGAACTAATGGAGTCACTTGGTTCCTGAGAGAGCTACTGCTTCTTCTTCTGGAGGATCTGACCATTGGTCCCTTCAGGTTGCTTGCTTTTGGCTTCTGGTTGCGCAAAGTTCCAATCCACTGGATTGAGCAGCTGTTGAGTCTTCTTTTGGGTCCAATATGGATTAATTATTATTGTGAGGAGGGCCAGTCCAACAAGGAAGAGTGCATAATGAGGCAGATACAGACTGCTGATTAAACCATCCCAGTGCCAAAAACACACCCACCACATGTGGTAGGTTAAAATCATGCGACAATGAAACATGTGAATCATTATCCACTGATTGAGCTTCCAAAACAGAGTCTCTGACCAGCCAGCCTGTAAAGTAAACAAACACAGATTTCAATATAAAACTCAAAACGAATTTCTTTCCATTGTGGTTAAATACATACATGTAATAAAACATTTACTATTCCAACATTCTTCATTGTAGAGTTCAGTGACATTAATGCTATATTAGAGTTCATCATGTTGTTCAACTATCACCTTTATTTACTGTTAAATTCTTCCACCATCAAAGTACATTCTTAACATTTAAAAGAGGGTTTTAACTCCCATGATAACATAACAAGTCCACTTAACAGCACAGAATTTTCTTGCCAATATTTTCCTTTCACTGGGGCTATAATATCGAAGCAAATTTCACTCCAGATGATAACTATGAAGATGATAATCAATGTAAATAAAATTTCCACTTTTCACTTCTCTGACCAGTTAAAACACGATATATTTCTGACTGCAGTCAGGTAAGTTAGACCTCACAAACCAAAAGGCCAAATAGGCAGACACTAATTACAAGCTTGGGAGCATCTTGGGCACCCTCATTTCGGACCTACAGACTCCTACTACTCTTTTGGATTTGTGAATTCACTAGAATGACTCATAGAAATCACAGACAGTACATATGTATTATTATAATTTTATTACAGGGAAAAGGCCTAGGAGGATTCCCAGCATGAAGCTTCCAAGTTCTCAAAACAATGTACTACCTTGTCAAGAGTCTAAATGCATTTCATCACCCAGGAAGCTCAGGGAGTTTCTGTGTTCAGAGCTTCCACTGGGGGGTCTAATCTTGTAATGGAAATTCTAGTCATTCCTCTGGCCTGCAGAGCCATCTTTTCATGAGACTCATCAATATCACTACATGATTATGAAGTGTTACAGTGGGTCTGTAGCCTAGCCACTCTACACCCCAAAGTCTACTCATCACCTCTCTCACCTAACCTGTTAGCTAGATATGGTCTGGAGTCCTTACAAAAGACATTTATATTATCAAGGTCACAAAGGTCACCCCTCAGAAACCCAGCACAATGAACCTAAGACACTTTCAAGCCTGGAATTGAACTCATCCTTAGGGGATCAACTTTCAGCCAAACAATTGTTGTTTTTACATGCCACTGAAGTTGAGTCAACCACAACTCATGGCAACTCTATGATCAATGGCTCTGAAACTTGCCCTAACCTAAGCCAACCTCACTATCTCTGACACATCTGATTTTCATTGCCACAGATAATTTCAAGCCATTTCATTCAAGGTCTTCCTCTCTTCCACTTACCATTGACCCTTCCATGCATGATATCCTTCTCTAAGGATTCCTTCTGACAAAATGCCCAAAGTATGAGAGAGTTCAAAATCCTAGCCTCCAAGGAGAAATCTGATTTCATCTTCTCCACCAGGAGAGATCTGTCTGTTCTCCTGGCAATCTGTGGTATGTTCAATACTCTTCTCCAGCATCACAACTCAAGTAAAGAAAGAAAAACAGATAGGGACATAAAGTGAAGCTTCATAAAAGTTATCAATAATAACTTTAGATAGACATACATTGTACCAAAAAGAATTGGCTGGCACAGAAGAAATTTTAAAAAACAATATATGATCAAAATGTAATTGTGATGAAAGAGGAAGTTCAAAGATGCTCTGAAGTACTTGGCAAAAAATAAAGCCCCACCAACAGATGTCTTTCAACAAGCAGATGCTGCCCTGTATATGCTCACAAAATTATGCCAAGAAATCTGGAGATCAACTGACTGGAAAAGATTCATATATATTCCTATTCCAAAAAAGGTGACCTGACAGAGTGTGGAAATCATCGAACAGTATCACCAATATCACATACTAGTAAAATCCTTTTGAAGATTATCCAGAAATGACTGGAACAGTACACTGACAGAGAACTACCAGAAATAAAAAGCTGGGTTTAGAGCAGGTCATAGCACTAGAGACATTACTACCAATGTCAGATGGATGCTGGCAGAAAGCAGAGTAACAGAAAAATGTCCATCTGTGTTTCACTGACTATACAAAAGCATTTGATGTAACTACCTTGAGCAAAATGGAAATCCCAGAACAATTAACAGGGCTTATGGAAAACCTAAACTTGAACCAGGAAGCAGAACAGAGCAAGGATACAATGCATGGTTCAAAATCAGGAAACAAGTGCATCAGGGACACATCCTGTCCCCATACCTTTTCAATCTGTATGCAGAACAGATCATTTGGGAAGCACGGCATTATGAGGAGGAACATGGCATTAAGATGGGAAGTAGAGTCATCAACAACCTACGATATGCAGATGACACAACCTTGCTTGCTGAAACTGAGGAAGACCTGAAGCCCTTGTTACAGGGGATTAAGGACTGTAGTCTTCAATATGGATTGAAGCTCAACATCAGGAAGACTAATATTCTCACCACTGGGGAAGAAGAGACAGGTTGTTAGCAATTACAGCTTGCTTGGCTCCACAATTAATATCAGCAGCAAGGAAACCGAAAGACAAATTGTACTGGGAAAATCTGGTGTCATGGACCTCTCAAGGTGCACCTAATCCAGGACATGGTTTCAAAATTACTTGTTATGCATCAGAAAGCTGGACAATGACTAAAGATGACAGAAGAAGAATCGATATCTTTGAGTTGTGGTGCTGCAGAAGAGTCTTGAACATACCATGAACTTTAAAAAAAAAACAAAAAACAGAAAAGGTCTGTCTTGAAGAGAGTGAAACCAAATTTCTCCTTGGTAGCTAGGATTTTTAAGCTCCACCTCATATTCTCTGTGCACGTGGCCAGGAGAGACCAGTCCTTGGAGGACATCATGCTCAGTGCAGGAGAGGAAGACGCCAGATGAGATGGGTCGATACAGTAACTGGGGATTTGGAAGTTGGTGTGTCGGAATTAGTGAGACTGGCTCAGGACATGGAAGGGTTCAGAGCTGCTATACATAGGGTTGCTATGGGTTGCAGGTAACTCAACAGAACATAACAACAACATATTATTTTGGTTGTTTTTAATTTAAGCCTCTTGTTTAGAATCAACAAGACCTCATGGAGGGACTTTATATTTAAATGTCAGTTGTTATATATTGGAGGAACATTCTTCTAAGTGGTACAACACTCTTATTTACTGTCAATCTTCTTTACTCAGGTAACCTGGGGTTGTTGTGATGCTTAACTTTGTACCACTGGGGTGTCAAATACCATAGCAGTTACCCATTATGGAGTTCTCAGTTTAAGAAGGTTTGGAAGGAGGAGTGGCATCTTCTTCCTAACATGCCTCTGGAAACTCTATAAACTTTGAGAAACGATGTTATAGTAGTTATAGAAAGGCTTAAGGTCTTTTGTCCATAGGGTTGTTATGAGTTGTGCTTGACCCCACAGCAATCAACAACAACAACAACAACAACGATGTACCATAAAAGAAAGAGAGGCAGTCTCCTCCTCCTAAGACTTATAGTCTAGGAAACACAACAGAAGGTTATGTAAGCTTGAGGGTCTTTTTGTTTGTTTGTTTGTTTTTCTTTTGGTTATTTATTATTATTAATTTTAATGAAAGTTTACAGAGACTTTTCTCCCTGCCCAACCCCTCTCCCCCAATTCACTCTTCTTGAAAAGAGAAATAAAAACTATTTCATTGTTATGCAATCCCTCCCCTCAAGTCCACTCCACCATGTAGCTCTCACTCAGGACTTCTGTAATGACAAGAATACTCATTCATATATCCCTTTTAAACAGTTCTCTCCCTCATCTGTTTCAATGCAATATACATCATTCTTCCCCTCCTTTTCTGTCTTCCCTCTAACCTGATGTCAGTCGTGTTTTACAACAGTGGCATTATGCAGTATTTGTCCCTTTGTGACTGATATATTTCACTCAGCATAATATCCTCCACGGTCATCCATTTTGCATAATATTTCATGAGTTCCTTGCTTTTCAATGCTGCATAGTATTCCATTGTGTGAATACACCAGAGATTCTCTATCCATTCATTGGTTCATGGGCACTTGGGTTGTTTCCAGCTCTTTGCAATTTAAGCTTGAGTTCTGAGTGTGTTTTCCTACTATTTACTATTTAGTAAGCTATCTGCACATAATAAAACTGACTGCATGGCGTCCATTCCCATTCATCTTTGTGTGGTCTCTAGTGGGCCCAACAAGACCCTTCCTTTCAGTGTCTCTTTTCTGACAGTCTTCAAGGATACTCTAAACTGTGCTTTCTCTTTCTCAGCATACTGTACTTTCAGAAACACCTTGGACTACTCTCCACAGCCAGGTACTTAGTTTGGCACATACAAGTAAGAGATAAGCATAAATCAAAAAAGCAACAGAAAAAAGCATGCTCTTCCATGTTAAAGGAGACAAAGAAATGGAAGTGGTAGCACACTCAGACCAGAAGAATCGCATGCATTATATCAAATGATGCAAAATTAAATTCAAGAACCCTTGGTAGTGTAGTGAGTAATGTGTAAGGTTGCTAACTAAAAAGTCGATGGTTAGAATTCACTAGTCACACCATGAGATAAAAATGGGCAGTGCCTGCCATAATGACTTACAGCCTTAGCAACTGATGAAGGGTCAATCTATGTCAGAATCTACTTGATGGCAGTGGGGAGCAGTGTTATGACCGTTCAAATAAAATATGCTGTTGCTACTGTTGTCGTTGCTCTTGTGTGCAGTCAAGTCAGAACTCACCCATAGCTGACCCTCCAGCACGTTTTCGGAGGCAGTAAAGAGCATGAGAGGAGACTCTCTATCCTACTCCCACTGAAAAACTGGTGGATTAGAACCACGTGCCTGTGGATTGCAGTGCAGTTTCTTACCACAATTGTTGCTGTAAGGTATGACTCACAATGACCCTAGGAACAAGAGATCTGAACCCTGACCTATACTGTGCAATCCTCAATCTCTGACACACTTGAGCCTATTGCTGCAATAACTTGATGTTATTGGTGTTGATCCATCTGGTTGCAGGCCATCCTCTCTTCTGCCAACTTTCCACCTTTCTAAGCATAATGTCCCTCTCTGAAAGTCTCTCCTAATAACATGC